TCTATGGCAATATGTACACGAGGCAAATCAAGGGTGTACCTCGAGTCAAGCCCTAACCGAACTTTATATGAAAAGCTAACGACCATAGCTTTGGTTATTCGGCTATTAGTAGATCGTGCGCCCTTGTATGGTGGTGGTACATATAACAACCACCCATAAAGGTTATTCAGAATAAAATAGACCGTTACAAGTAAAAAGGAAGTATTCGACCGTCAAAGCTAGCCACTCACTTGGCCAGATCATCATTCGTTTCCCGGAGTTTCGTCATCACACGGTATGCTTGCTGCTCTTCAGTCATGAACGCTGGTGGAAGAAGTCCATGAATCCCAAGGTAGTGCCGTTCATAGAGCGAAAAGGCCATCCCCTTAATAGCTAACTATGATATTAATATTTATACATCTGTTTATAACAACACACTACTCCGATTTTCAACTACTATTACCCTTGAGTGAATTGAACTAAATGAATAAATAAATATATAAAAAGTAAATAAGATAAAATTAAATAAACTAAATAAACAAATAAATACTAACTTCTGCTGCACACTACAAAACATATTTTTGGAAGTAACAGATTGAATTTTCAGGTCACCTACCTTATTTAACCTCGGATTTTTCAAGAGGTCATAGCCTTTTTCCCTTGGCGTTATTCTTTCAGGTCGGTAGAGTTTGTGGAGGGCCACCTGTTTCGGATCGTTGAAGTCGATTTCTTTAGCGCTTCGCATTTCCGATAGTGACAATTGACGTCTACCAACCGTAAATCTAAAAAGAAATGGAGTTGACCTTCAAAAATATCAATAAATTAATTAATGAAGAAATGTATTAAATAGTATGAAGAATTCAATACATATTGTGGATATCGATTTGGTATAGCTAAAATGCTATAGAATTATAGGTAAAAAACGAAAAAGTAGTAGAAGAAATAAAGGGAAAATGTTAGGTCTATTGGTCACAAATACTACAGTAATAGGCTTATGGGCGCTATCGCAATATACGGGGGCATCCTTTGGAACTAAGCCGTGGAGTAGGCAGGAAGTCCGTGGAAAATGAAAAGGGCCCCGCACCCTGGAGTACCTCCTCCCACGCCTAAGGCTTATTCCCGTTTTTAACTAAAAATGTTTTACGTGGATTGAAATGCCACCACAATGCGCGTATGTTGCGACAGCGCCGACTTATCTAAATAAAAGCCATCAGATAATTAGGCCACTCCCTAAAGTGAGCAAGGTAGTATGGTCCGTAAGGTTGATGCAGGACCACAACTCGAACAGCTCAAAACGGCGAAGGAATGTGGGAGTTTGGGATTTAGGACCAAGGCCACCTTAAGCAGCCTACACCCGTGCACGCTTACTTACTATTTGTTGGCTCGTTTTGTTCCCCTCCCCCTCCCCCTTCCTGCTAGTTACAACAGAACTGATCTACGCCTAATCTCAGTCGTTTTTGCTGCCACAGCTCTGGTCAGCGCATGCGGAGCTAGGTTTCCAACAGTACCAACCGCAATGCTGTGAAGAATTTCAGGGATTAACACGTCCTAACCCCCCTCCCTGCTGGTGTCCTGACCTTTCCTCTGCACACAGAGGGGTGCGCGAGCCGAGCAATGCCTTAACTCTGGCCCATGTCAAACACCTTCCCCTTTCCATATTCCCACACGAACCAGTCTAACGTCATCCCCCACGAAGCATCCTAAACACTTCAAAAGACGCTCCGTTACAACCCTTTTCATCTCGTTATCACCCATCACACAATAACTTCGTATAGCATACATTATACGAAGTTATACGACCCCATTGTTGCTTAATTAACGAGCAGGCTTGACCCTGATTTTCAAACCAGCCGCATGTCCCACTTCTTCATTTAGACGTCTTACTTCGACAAAAGATCGGAAGATGGCCCTTACGTTGGACTAAAATATTGTCTATGTCACAAGCGTAAAAAGAAAGTTTGGTTCTGAATCAAATTAATTGAATGATCACCTAATATGTATGTTAACTACTCAAAAAACGCCGTATTAACGATCGAAGCTACAAAGTATGACTTACAGCAGGCCATTCTGAATGCGAAGCATCAGCACGGGACGGCGTACGCCTAAAAAATTGACAATAAGGTTTCCATCACGATTATTAACACGCCACGAGTTCAAGCTGCGGAAATTCAAGTGAAATCTAAACGATCAATGCCTAAACTTCCATAAAGTCCGAGACCGAGAGGTCTTCTTGGGTCCGAAACTCTTATTGAATGAGGCGAATAGCATAGGAGCGAATGACTTATTATGTAAGTTAACCGCTATTTTCATAGCCATAGTTAATTCTATTTATAAAATATAGAAGACATAAGGCAGGAAGTGTATTTAGCGGTGCTATTCGAGGGCGGAAGTGGTGTAGTGGCAAGTGGCACGCGCTTACCACGCGAGCGGTCCGGGGATCAAATCCTGGGTCGTGAGTCGCCCGGGCCAACCAAGCCTTCCATCCCTCCGGGGTCGGTTAATTGGTACCAGACTTGTCTGGGAGGATAAAAACACTGACTTGTACATCGGCTGGCCCCCGCAAGTCATTGTATAGGCCACATCGCATTCAAACGCCACTGCGAATGTACAAATGGAAGTAGAATGCGTGCCGCATCCCAAAAAGGGATTGATCAACGGCAAATGCTTTATCCTTTATCCTTTATTGTAGATACATTTGGGCATAGCGACGTTAGAGACGAAGTGTTGGATTACTGTATTTGTATAGCTACCACTCGTCACGAAGGATCTTTCACAGGTTAACTAAAAAGGTCTTCTTTTTCTCAGGCCGAACTGAACTGGCACTAGACATCTTCAGAAAAATGAAACACTTCCCTTATAAAGGGTTTACCCTTGCAGCTGGTTCCTATCCCAGCGCTTTGCGATTCTGTACTGAAAATCTTCGAAAAATCTATCAGTGAAAAGTCTTCCCTCCACGCTCAACGGCCCTAGCTTCTTCACACTTTTGCTCCTAGAGTTGTTGTTAAATGAAGCATTTTCACTACTGATTTTACAGAGCTAGTCAATCGAACACGCGCAACTATCAAAAACATCCTATAATAAAGACAGGATGATTCCCACCACTACCTACAGTTTTATGTAGGTAGTGGTGGGATTATCCGTCTTTATTATAGGATGTAAAAAACGCAGCCAGAAGACATCGACTCGGTCTGAAAGCGCAATTCCAAAGCGTTATTCACCCCATAAACAAATGCATTTTCAGCAGCTGCAGCACCTACTTTCACGCGAGAACATATTTTGGTTCCCGCAAGAAACTAAAAACCAGTTGATTGTTTTCGAATTCGACGTTGTTGATTAATAGTGGACCGGAAGTATTCACAAGCTTCCCAACAAGCAACGAGTTAAGCTGTTCGCTGAGCAGTTGCGTATCCTCTGGGGATAGGTTTGTAGACAGAATGATCGACTGTTCTCAGAGTGAATCATTACTTGTCGCTACATACATTTTGACCACCCTCAGTGAAGGAAAATTTGGTGCTATACAAGTAGGGTGGGCACGCCGCATTTTTTGAACAGAAATGTATGAAGTGGGACTGCTGCTCGCTACTATACTGTCACGAGAATGGGGAATTCGTGAGCCAGGGGGAGTGTAGCCAATCTAGGGGGTGGGGGTGAGGGCAGTCACTTGACATGCGTGAAAAGCTGGGTGTGCCCACCCCACTTGTATAGCACCGAAATGTAGCAGTAAAGCAGCTATTCACGCCAACATTGAGTAACTTCATTGCCGACTCCACCGCTCTGACCACCTATTCACCTCTCCATGCTCCCTGCAGGGGAAAGTGGAAGGAAGACCCGGGAAAAGGAGAAAAACTATGGCGTCCCATGAGCGATAGTGGGAATATGTGTGTACTACTTTATGTGGGGCTCGTAATAACTATCTTCATTGAAACTAAGGTCGCTTTATCAATAAGGTGGAAGAATGAATGAAAATGGGGAACAACTTGAATGGAAGTTCAATATGTCATATCGGAATAACAGCAGACAATCATTAGGATATTATTTCAAATTAATGCAAGGCAGAAATTCGAATTTTTTTTCCTCTTTGTGGAATTTTTGGAAGGGTGCGTAACACGTTCAGTGGCAGGCTTATGCTAAGAACGCGCTACGGATTAAAAAACATAGCGCTTCTGAAAGCTATTGCGCTTCTCTTGAGCCTCTTCAAAATTTTTGCAATTGAAATTTTGTAGTTTTTCAAGGCAAAGAACGCGTTATTTCTGGTGGGTGGGTAAAAAAGAAGCTTGAGCTTTTTTTGAGTCCTCTAATATCTTTTGCAATTAAAGTTTGTAGCATTTTTAGAAAAGACGGCCGCTTTTTTTCCGGAGGATGGGGTGGGGTTCATTAAGAGGCATCTATAAGAAATCACAAGCGTTGAAAGACAGAAGAGAGCGACATGGTAGTAGCTACCATTCAGCACAACATGGGCTCCCATTCCTGATGAGTCTATTGTTAGCGCTGAAGTCCTATCGACCAATAGCCACATGTAATTCATGAATAGTACATTTAACTTGAATCACTTTACTACAGATTAAGGTATATTCTCTGGGGTTTTGTTTTTAAGCCAATATCAATAACGACGCATTGCAGCTGCAATTACATATTTATTCTTATATAATATCGTATAAGGAATCAGAAAAGAGTCAATGACGAGTGACAAATTGTATTTCTACAAGAATAAAGGCAGCGATTAGTGAATAATACCAAACAAAAATGGCAGCTTCTTGATGTCGCGTGAAATCCACGTGCACTCGTCTAGGATAACGGAACATTTCTCCCGTTTGCGTTGCTCTATGAAGACGCCGAGAAAATTTCATGTGATGTGAACTTCAGAATGTTAAGATGTCGGTCAGACTCTGCGATTGCTCTGCCTAGAGCGATTGCATCGCGCGATGCAGTCGCTCTGCCTAGAGCGATTGGCATCGCTCCAAAAGTGCGAGCGACGGGAGATTTACCCCGCCGACGACCGATACACACGGCGCCGCTCGGGACGAATTCTTCCTACAGTTTGTTCTTGGCCATTTCATTGAATCATGTATGTTGAACAGTATTTTGGAGAAGAGACAAAATATGAAGCAAATGAAAATATGAATGAAAGGAGCAAAAATATCGCTTTCTCGATGAGTGCCTCAAAAAGAATCAGAAAGAAATCCGAAGCACTCCTATGCTATCATTCCTATTATATTGTGGTGGATGGGCTCCTATCAGTTCACAGGAGGACAGGGTCATATACATTCATACCAGAGCGATACCACCTCAAGAGAGCAAAGTTGCTCACAGAGAAAGGTCTACTGACAGTAGTTGGCGTCTGTTCTCAGAAATTGCTACCAAATTCCAACGGGGCTTACGAAAGCATAGCCTGCGCCTTAAAGCAACAGTCCAGGCAGGGTTTCAACTACTTGGTCATTAGGCGGTCAAAACATGCCCCAGCCCAACTAAAGTTTATAGGAAATGTCTTTAAGTTCAAAACCTACCTCTAAAATGCGCTGGAAGGGGTCGAAGTCCTCTTGGAGGGGGCGGATCACCCATACCGAGGCGGATCGCCCAACATACGCTGTGCAGAGTCCGTGCTTGACTAGCGGTCGTTGCGGGACCGCCGCGCTGTATGAGGTCGATTCCATAAGAACGCAATTGAAGCGCTTCAATTTCGATTGCTGGCAAATAGTTATGTATTTGCAAGCATGCATGGCTATTTGCCAGCAGTTGCAATTGGAGCGCATGTACTACGGGCAGGTTCGGACAACTCGTCCAACACACGTATTCCCCAATCGTTGAACGGCAGAGGGCATGTCCCTGTCTAAGCCCCAGTTGGGCGTTTTTCACTTTTTCTTTTTACGTTCGACCACTTTTCACCTACAACTTCCATATAGGTGCTTTTTGGCCCGCAAATTCGTTCCTGGACTGTTGCTTTAAAGTAAGCATTCAATGGCTATTCACTAGTGGGGGTGGGAGCGTTCGGAAAGTGGCAAAATGCGTTAGATCGGTTTGGAGTCCTGAAGCTCTGGCCAAGTTGTGATATTTAACCAGACGAAGTCAATCATTACCCGATAGCAGTAGCCATGAGAAGCAATCTGTGCCATTGTAACATATTTGAAGCTTATCAAAGGCGTTTCGGAGAACCATATCGGTTTGATCGAACAACTCAAAACAGCGAAAAATATTTGTGAAGAGATTGTCACCAAAACAATTAGTGCTGTCACTTCTCGACAAATAATCAAACAACAACGGAAGGACTGCTTGGTTCCCATCGAATGCCTGACTCGCCCTTCTAACGAGCTTATACTAGCTAGAAGCTCAAGGAAATTTAGCCCTGAACAACAGGACCGCTTTCGTTCCAAAACACTCAAGTTTTCTATGGAAGCAGTCATTTTTCCCGAAAAAGGGATTATATGGTTCGCGAAAAGCGTGGAAGAAAATCATTGTGGGTTTCTAACTGTCACTTGCACCATTTCTAAGGCTTTTCATCCGTGAATCTCAAGCAGTAGCTCTACAATCGCCCAAACTTCTGCATTGAATGAATTGGGATATATCCGCTCGTTGTGCTGAGGCAAGCAAGCCTGGTTGGAGCGTTTTTGTCAGTTTGCAAAAATCACGTCAGCTTTTGTGGCATTCTACAGTACAGTGCAATAAACCTCCTGGTCCAGAGGATTTGCAAATAGTTTGTTAGCGGTTTCGAACACCTTCATGTTCGTATGACATCTAGAAAAGGCGAAACAGCAAAACTGGTCACATTGCTGGCCCTCTATCCGCCCATGCCCTTTCTTCATCTCTCCTTGTTTACTGCGAGCCTACTGCCAAAAATAGCTAGCTGCCTGCCCCATCTCCCTGTTAATGCTTCACAAAACCGATGAAAATTATTGAGGCTAGTTAATTGGATGGTTCTCATGAAGGACCAAAAATACACTCAATAGGAACTACTAACTAGTAAACTGAAAGGAGATTGAAAAGAGTCGTATGGTGATGTGGCGCGAACGATGACGACGACGAGTCGTTATCATGGACTAATTGCCTATACTAGGAAGGACATATCGACATCTTGCTTCATAACGAGC